CGTAATTCAACGATATACTCGGGAAAAGGCGAAATAACGCAGATAATCACCATTATGTGGTTGACAATGACGAGGAGAGTGAGAAGAGCAGGTCTACGTACCACTTGCAGTGTAATGCTGCAATATGCTCGTAATTCAACGATATACTCGGGAAAAGGCGAAATAACGCAGATAATCACCATTATGTGGTTGACAATGACGAGGAGAGTGAGAAGAGCAGGTCTACATACCACTTGCAGTGTAATGCTGCAATATGCTCGTAATTCAACGATATACTCGGGAAAAGGCGAAATAACGCAGATAATCACCATTATGTGGTTGACAATGACGAGGAGAGTGAGAAGAGCAGGTCTACATACCACTTGCAGTGTAATGCTGCAATATGCTCGTAATTCAACGATATACTCGGGAAAAGGCGAAATAACGCAGATAATCACCATTATGTGGTTGACAATGACGAGGAGAGTGAGAAGAGCAGGTCTACATACCACTTGCAGTGTAATGCTGCAATATGCTCGTAATTCAACGATATACTCGGGAAAAGGCGAAATAACGCAGATAATCACCATTATGTGGTTGACAATGACGAGGAGAGTGAGAAGAGCAGGTCTACGTACCACTTGCAGTGTAATGCTGCAATATGCTCGTAATTCAACGATATACTCGGGAAAAGGCGAAATAACGCAGATAATCACCATTATGTGGTTGATAATGACGAGGAGAGTGAGAAGAGCAGGTCTACGTACCACTTGCAGTGTAATGCTGCAATATGCTCGTAATTCAACGATATACTCGGGAAAAGGCGAAATAACGCAGATAATCACCATTATGTGGTTGATGATGACGAGGAGAGTGAGAAGAGCAGGTCTACATACCACTTGCAGTGTAATGCTGCAATATGCTCGTAATTCAACGATATACTCGGGAAAAGGCGAAATAACGCAGATAATCACCATTATGTGGTTGACAATGACGAGGAGAGTGAGAAGAGCAGGTCTACGTACCACTTGCAGTGTAATGCTGCAATATGCTCGTAATTCAACGATATACTCGGGAAAAGGCGAAATAACGCAGATAATCACCATTATGTGGTTGATAATGACGAGGAGAGTGAGAAGAGCAGGTCTACATACCACTTGCAGTGTAATGCTGCAATATGCTCGTAATTCAACGATATACTCGGGAAAAGGTGAAATAACGCAGATAATCACCATTATGTGGTTGATAATGACGAGGAGAGTGAGAAGAGCAGGTCTACATACCACTTGCAGTGTAATGCTGCAATATGCTCGTAATTCAACGATATACTCGGGAAAAGGTGAAATAACGCAGATAATCACCATTATGTGGTTGATAATGACGAGGAGAGTGAGAAGAGCAGGTCTACATACCACTTGCAGTGTAATGCTGCAATATGCTCGTAATTCAACGATATACTCGGGAAAAGGCGAAATAACGCAGATAATCACCATTATGTGGTTGATGATGACGAGGAGAGTGAGAAGAGCAGGTCTACGTACCACTTGCAGTGTAATGCTGCAATATGCTCGTAATTCAACGATATACTCGGGAAAAGGCGAAATAACGCAGATAATCACCATTATGTGGTTGACAATGACGAGGAGAGTGAGAAGAGCAGGTCTACGTACCACTTGCAGTGTAATGCTGCAATATGCTCGTAATTCAACGATATACTCGGGAAAAGGCGAAATAACGCAGATAATCACCATTATGTGGTTGATAATGACGAGGAGAGTGAGAAGAGCAGGTCTACATACCACTTGCAGTGTAATGCTGCAATATGCTCGTAATTCAACGATATACTCGGGAAAAGGCGAAATAACGCAGATAATCACCATTATGTGGTTGATGATGACGAGGAGAGTGAGAAGAGCAGGTCTACGTACCACTTGCAGTGTAATGCTGCAATATGCTCGTAATTCAACGATATACTCGGGAAAAGGCGAAATAACGCAGATAATCACCATTATGTGGTTGATAATGACGAGGAGAGTGAGAAGAGCAGGTCTACATACCACTTGCAGTGTAATGCTGCAATATGCTCGTAATTCAACGATATACTCGGGAAAAGGCGAAATAACGCAGATAATCACCATTATGTGGTTGATAATGACGAGGAGAGTGAGAAGAGCAGGTCTACATACCACTTGCAGTGTAATGCTGCAATATGCTCGTAATTCAACGATATACTCGGGAAAAGGCGAAATAACGCAGATAATCACCATTATGTGGTTGATAATGACGAGGAGAGTGAGAAGAGCAGGTCTACGTACCACTTGCAGTGTAATGCTGCAATATGCTCGTAATTCAACGATATACTCGGGAAAAGGCGAAATAACGCAGATAATCACCATTATGTGGTTGACAATGACGAGGAGAGTGAGAAGAGCAGGTCTACGTACCACTTGCAGTGTAATGCTGCAATATGCTCGTAATTCAACGATATACTCGGGAAAAGGCGAAATAACGCAGATAATCACCATTATGTGGTTGATAATGACGAGGAGAGTGAGAAGAGCAGGTCTACATACCACTTGCAGTGTAATGCTGCAATATGCTCGTAATTCAACGATATACTCGGGAAAAGGCGAAATAACGCAGATAATCACCATTATGTGGTTGATGATGACGAGGAGAGTGAGAAGAGCAGGTCTACATACCACTTGCAGTGTAATGCTGCAATATGCTCGTAATTCAACGATATACTCGGGAAAAGGCGAAATAACGCAGATAATCACCATTATGTGGTTGACAATGACGAGGAGAGTGAGAAGAGCAGGTCTACGTACCACTTGCAGTGTAATGCTGCAATATGCTCGTAATTCAACGATATACTCGGGAAAAGGCGAAATAACGCAGATAATCACCATTATGTGGTTGACAATGACGAGGAGAGTGAGAAGAGCAGGTCTACATACCACTTGCAGTGTAATGCTGCAATATGCTCGTAATTCAACGATATACTCGGGAAAAGGCGAAATAACGCAGATAATCACCATTATGTGGTTGATAATGACGAGGAGAGTGAGAAGAGCAGGTCTACATACCACTTGCAGTGTAATGCTGCAATATGCTCGTAATTCAACGATATACTCGGGAAAAGGCGAAATAACGCAGATAATCACCATTATGTGGTTGATAATGACGAGGAGAGTGAGAAGAGCAGGTCTACATACCACTTGCAGTGTAATGCTGCAATATGCTCGTAATTCAACGATATACTCGGGAAAAGGCGAAATAACGCAGATAATCACCATTATGTGGTTGACAATGACGAGGAGAGTGAGAAGAGCAGGTCTACATACCACTTGCAGTGTAATGCTGCAATACGCTGTGACCTCAACTGTAGACACTGGATGTCGTAGAATAACTCTGACATTGTCGAGTATATGGTGGGATTTCGGTAGATGACTGAGAAATGCAGATGTATACAGCACTCGCAGTGCAATTCTCTCAGTATGGTTCTAATTGAACGGTATATGCGTGAAGTCGCAGAATAACGCAGACGATGACAACTATGTTTTTGGTATTTTGCATAGTTATGTCGTGCTCTGTAGTTTACTTCTGCTTGCGCATCCGTTTGCAGGAGATTGTTCAGCTTTCGCGGTATTTCTTCAACTGAGGAAGTATATGATATTTCAATCATTTTGATGAATTAAATTTATTCGTGAAATTAGGAACTGATAGTCATGACACTTTTACATATGATAATTTTTAACGTTACAGAATTATCTCTGAATTCCTAATTGGTGTATCAACATAGTAATTTGTCCATATTTCTAAGCATGTTATTATCTAGGTCTTCTAACCCTAATATTTCCCTAGCCTAACCCTTAAATGAAAATATCCCTAAATTAATTCTTATCTAACTAGAACCAACTGTAATGTCGCCCTCATCAGGTAAACCTCTAACCTATCCCTAGCTTAAACCATAACTTAATCTTTCCCAAACCTAACTTGAAACTTTCCAGATATCCCATTTAAGAATGTGACACTTCGTCAGGCCTATTTTATTCGTAATTACGGCACTTTTTACCAGATTTCACTAACTCGCCTACTGAGAGTTTCAAGATCATTAATGCGGTTGCACTGCACTGGTGCTAAAAGTTTAACTTGCTCGATACCAGACCAAGGTAATGCATATTGATGATATGTTAGCGTTTCATAGTATACTCATGTGGACAGTTAGAAAATATGAAAGGAATGTTCGAAAGGGACCACTGTTCACTAAATCACAAACTGAGGTATAACTAGGAATTTTCCACATAGAAACCTGCAAGCACTTTGATATAAGTATAAAACTTGGGCACTGTGGTAGAGTATAATTCCATAATGGATATGATTATGAGCAATAGTTTGTGCTCGAAACGTCATCAGTTAATATAACTGTACTACACTGTGTGATTTATCAAAATAAAATCTTATCCATTATGGAACTGCAAGCACTTTCATAAAGCGAATCAGTTTCCATTCGGCATTATTGAGATCCAGACAAAGGGTGTCGTCTACGTTCATATAACTTAAAATCTACCTTGGAAACATCTGGTATTTACTTAAGCCTGCGTCCTTCTGTTTCAAAAAAATGCAAAATCTAAGCGAAGATACATCTCATTTCATGTGATTGATAGTGGTCACTCAGTTGGTAAGCAGAACGAGCTCAATGCAACGTTTCTGCACTTTCTAACGGATACTGTACTCAGGACTCGCACATAGTTTAAGTTACATGTGTTTTGTGCATTCGAGAGGGAATTCATAAATTAACTGTTTCTGCCTAAGCCAGTTAATACTAAATCTCTCAATCTTTCAAATCATTAAATATCGCTTTTATGCTATGTTTTACGTTGCGCCATCCATCTATATCCCGTTTTCACTGAAATCCTGTCCTTCTTCTCCCTTTAGTCCTAACTTTCAAGCTATTTTGGTGTTTTCCCAACTTAAGGTAAAGTGTCTTTCAAACGCTAACATTAAAACAATTTTCTCAGTGGAGATATAAAAATATCAGAAATGTAATCGATTCACACATAAATTAGCGTAAGCACATTTGTGCAAGTCATTTTCATAATGGAAAATAATTGTTAATTACAATGAAGGCGGATTCTGGATTATCATAATTTGTTAATCTATAACTTAACTCCAAGTGATTTTAAAGCCTGTGTCAGATACTTCACTGTCGTTTCTCTATCCTGGTAGTTGGATGCACTTAAAGCGTATTTAATATCCTTTTCCACGTCTAGCCACTGTTTTGATGAAATGTGATTGCTAACTGAGAACGACTCAGGAGTAAACGGTTGTCCTGATGTATGGTCGGGTATTGTGGGTGTATTTTCATTCGGTACACTTGGTTTTTCGTTAAATAAATCGTCTACACCTACTAGTCCCGTAATACCTGTACAAACAGAACGAAAGAGAAACCCCTCAATTTGTTTTAAAGAGAAAATTAACAAAAAACTCTGTTGAATAAAAACCAACTAAACAAACAAGCCTAAATGAATCTATTATTAGCTCAAGTACGCTATAACTCTCTTAATTTACTAGTCTTAGAATTGAAAAACAGCAGTTGGAAAAAAGAAATACTGATGGATATCTACCTACCATTTCCAAAAGTGAAGTGGACAAGGAGACCAGTGCAGGAACTTACACAAAAATGCAATAACCAAAGTTAGTTGATCCTGATAATTAGCATACGAAAAACCTACACTGGAAAGGGACAATGTAGTAAGTGAATTTGGAGAGACAGAAGGTATTCAGGTGCCCATTAAAAGTCTTAGGACGAAGTAGAGTGAATACATATCTTTCACTGTATATGTTGAAGAATGTTTTTGCTCAGTGGTCATTAAGGACTTACGTCACCTATACTAACATTCATGAACTTCAAACATTCATACCACGTTTTAGTCTTGCCATTCGGAAATATCAACCCCCATCTTATTTACAAGTATTAGTTTATGTACGGACTTAGTTTGATTGGTTGAGCTGACATCAGTTAGAGAACCACTGGAAAACCTGGGAGTACTGGACAGTTGTTTTGTCCTAGAGTTTAGGACTCTTCATCAGTACGCACCCACCGGGGTTCCGACCCAGGACCTTCCGGTTACAAGGCGAGCTCGTACATTATTAAGCCACTGGGCCCACGAATTCTAACTTCTGCCAATTCATGATATAGTGCGACCACTTCGCAATGTCTTCTTCAATGAGTTACTGCCTCACCTTCAACATGCAGTACCCTACTGGTCACGGCTTCCCACTAGAACCCCAGGTCACTACCTGAATAGAGCCAGTCGCTAGTGAGTATCAGATGAATTTTCAAATATTGGTCTTTGTGGGGATTTATTTTGGTTGGTTGGAGGATTTCATCGTGAGCTGACATCATGATCACTGATGTCAGCTGACGATGAAACCTTACATCTAATCTCATTAAAGCAAATCCTGTTTATTAAAAAAGCAATAGGTAAGGCAATTTCACAGTTGGTGAAGACTCAGAGCCTTATCAACCCCACTTTAAATTTCAAGTTTGGTATGAACAGGTACTTCAAATCCAATTCAATCTTTCACATCCATGTAACTCAGTGTGGAGTAGTACCGTAAGTCCTCTTTTTAACGGGAAACGAAATAACTCGGTGACGCAGCAGCTGGAAATTAAAAACGTGGCTCTTTGCTTCTTTTAGTAACTAATCTACTGGGGGTTAAGCAACTTTCACAGTCACTCACAAAAAACTGGGAGCAAATATACACAAGTATTGTAGCATCACCTTATACTGCACAAGTGCGATACACAACGTTCTGCTTTCAACCAAAGACTTTTCGCATTTTAGTTGAAATAAACAATTTTGGGGGTTATACATAGATGCTAAAAGCAAATATCTGAACCATTTGATATTACCTAAACGAAAATAAAAGTGTTCCGATATACACCGACACTTATCATAAAAGCATGACCAAAGTTAATTCGACTGCTCAGTGAGTCAGTGGCTTACTGAAAAAAAAATAATAAATGTGGGTTTGGAAGTTTATTTCAGATGTACGACCAGATGAAAGTGTCATAACATCACGCAACAGGTAATAGTGATTGGTTAAAAATTAACAAGTGATCCATTGATGATTAAGACGCCGTAACAATTCTAATGTCTTCCCAAGCCGCAGAAAGAACATTTGTGGAGAATGGTGCAATGAAAACATTAGTGGGAGGATTACATAAAATATCCGCACATTTTCTGATGACAATAGCAAGCAAGATATCTGGACCTAGACAGTGGGGAGGTTCCAAGTTGCGGAGACATTTACGAACATCATCTGAATTGAAACGAGGAAGGCGGTCATTCCTAACTAAACTAAGTAGTACCAAAGAAAATCTCAGACAGGAGATAGGGTATATAAGAGAAGCTTTGAAACTTAATAATTACCCTGATAAATTGGTCAGAAAGTCAAACATGCGCAAGACAACACCAACAATAAGGAATCTAAATAATCCTTCCATACAACCTCGGAAACCTTACGCAGGAATAAAAGTGACATTCAAACCAACCACAAACTCAATTAGAAACAAGCTTTGTCGGTTAAAGGATCCTGTGGAGCCTTTAAAACAAAAGTTTAGTTTATCTAATACCCTGCAATGATTGTCAGGTCAAACTAGTAGAACAAGGGCAGTCATACTAGCGAGCATAAAAACCTAGCAGGAAAATCTAGATTAGTTGCCCGAATAAGATAAGAAATCTAGAGAATAGTTCAGCTATAGCACTACATGCAGTTACACACAACCATACAATAGGATGGATGGGATAGGATGACAGTTTTAAAATCTAATGCCACAGAGTGGAGGAAGAGATTGATAACAGAAGCTTTGTTTATCGAATCAACTGCAAATACGTGTAATAGGTATGATTCAACACCTGTCCCAGATATCTAGAAAATTCTACTACCCCAATAACGACAAATAGGAGAGGACAAAGAAAACTATAAAACTCAAGTTTCTAAGTCGTGTGATTATAATTGATATGATTATGAACAACAATTTTTGTTCGAAACGTCATCCAGTAAATAATACTGTTTCACTGTGTGATACATTAAAAAAAAACTAATATGGAATTTGGTGGAATACTTTCCACAGATTTGAAGTTATTTATAAACACTAAATCTAGCATGTTGTCTAGACCAGTTACAAAGTTAATATTTTGGTGATGTAGAGACGTAAGGAAAACTGTCTCAAGAATCGAAATCCTCAGCCCCTACTGACAAACAGTTAGCAGCAAAAACACTGAATTCATCAGTAAATATGGATAGTTCTGACAGATTACAATCAGGTGCAATATAAGTGTTGGAAACGACATTTAACAGTAATGTAGTCGATTCTGCCGTTTGAGAATTTAAAGTATACCCTATTGGAAGTAGACCACTGAGAACTGATAAAAGTTGCGGAGCCACCACCGCTTTTCTTCTAAGAGCTACACAGATCTTGTCTAGATAATCTGAAATCATTTAGAAAGACTAGATTATCATCATATAAATCATGAACCCAAGTTTCTTGAAGAGTTATTACCCTTGTATTGCGATACATAATGGAAGATGCGAAGAACTGCAGGAGGTTAATTTTATCAAGCATGTAGTACTCATAACCTCGGGAACAATCATTTGGTGTATTGGGACGCATTTTATCGCACGTTGTCACCCAAGATGCTTTTTCTTGAGGTTAGTGAAAACTTACTAGTTGTAAAAACTTTAAGTATTCCCGAGGGTAAACAATGCGACTAGAGGTCATATTTTATTAGAATAGAACAAGGCGAACACGAGAAATTAGGTACAACATGGTGGTGGAGGTTTTTAGTATCTAAGCAGGCCAACACTTATATCTTCCTTAGGCTTCACCACAGTATAAATGACTTAAGGTACACATAAAATCCCAACTAATCACGGCGACTTAAGGGTCTTTGATAAATATTATGACAAATAGTAGTAGTAAAGTCAAGGGTAACGAAATTTTTTGTACTTCCCAATGGATGAAAAAGAAAACGACATTGTTTTGAAACCTGACCGATACAACTCAGTCAGCACAAACACTAAGGCCTGGACATATGGCACTGGTTACTCACAAATGACTAACCAATGTAATGACCAAGAGGAAGATAAATTTGGAACAAGCGTTTTTAGAATGCACAGACTAGGAGTATTATCCCCGATTCCCATAGCACTGCCTAAAAGTAAAAGATTAGTTAGAAAGATCCGATGGAATACGATCAACGTTAATGAAAAAAGTTATATCCACTAAATAAACTCCAACAACCAAATGAGACAAAATTGAGGCTATTAACTTTGCAGAAACCCTTTACCGGTTACGAAGGAAGTTGCCCAGCAATACTTCCATTCAGTTGCTTGTTTGACTACCGCGTCACTGTATGCAACTTACTTTTACTTTGCTTCGGCTATCTCCTACGGAAGGATGAGCCGGCTTCATGAACTTTTCAAATCATCGCTACCCAGGCGCAGCGATCTGATGAAGAGAGTTTACGAAGTTTCATGGGAATTTGGTACGAGTGATGTCCCCAGAACCACTCGGCCTTTTGTTTGAGAGTGCAACTCTAGCCTTTACACAACCAAGTGTGACCTACAAGGCAGTAGGAGTGGAGTAGGGAGTCCACTATCCATTGGCAGCCGGTGACCGGAGTTCGGTTCATACGCCTTTTTGAATGGGGCCAGACATCCAGGACATCCAACAAGCCCTTTGTCCATACGTCTGCCGGTGAGCTCCAGTGAGCTTCATACGCCAGTGGTTGGAGGTTTGGAATCAGGGTTTAGCCATCTCCCCTAGACTGTCATCCAATGGACAGTCAACCCGGTGAAGAGCGCCGGGCATCCGCTTTCGCCCTCTCACTTTGGTGAAAAACACCTCCGCCACGTGAAGGCAGTGAGTAGGACTTCCTCAGGAGAGGCTATGTAAGACGCCCGGTCATATGGGAGCATTTCAAGAGGTGTGCGGAGGGGTGGCCAACCCGCAGCGCAAGGCACCCACCCCCGACCATCCTGAGGCTTTGGAGGCACTGTATGCAACTAGTGACTACTTAGGAATTATACCAACCAGAATTCACATTCTACAAATGACTATCCGTTAAACAATCAGATTTTACCAATTTAGTAGATGCCCACTACTCGAGCTAGGTTACTAAATGCTCAGTTTCGCGTTGCATTTTTTTAGTTAGCTCCCAATATCTATCTCTCGTTTTGTTGGAAAAAACTTCCCAACAACATTTACGCAAGTCTTCTCATTTACTAGTTGGAAAATTTACTGGGAAGTTGCTAAATGTTTTTATTCGGTATTTGTGCGAACAATTAGCTGCAGTAATAATTATATAACTTTCTCCACAGAAGCAACTAAATTTTCAAATGCACACATAAGGG